TGAGCGTTAATAACCCCCGCGATAATTATAAATCCTGTGAACGTCTCATAATTTCAAGTTCTATGTAACTGGGTGTGCTGATGATGAATGACCGAAAACATGTGTTTGAAAATGTGACTTTTCAAAAGTTATCCATCATTACCTGCCTCGCCGTGTCTGACCAAATCTGGTGGCCCCAGGAAACGCGAGGAGATAATGGGTGCCTCGTCATTCTCATCTATAATGGGGATGACAACCAGGGCCGTTCCTGTCCGTTCATACGGTGCGGGCGCAGAGTCCACGGCCTGAACATAAAAGCTAAACTGCTTGCCCTCGCTCGGCGGGGCCGCCCTTAGAGCCGAGGGAGAGCTAGACATGTGCAGGGGTTCCAGGGTCTCATAATCTAACCAATGGCGCAGCAGAATCCGGCCATCTGGGTGGACGGAAAAGAACTTGGGCACCAGAAGATTGTTACTGGGTGCGAGGGAGTAGCGAAGACGACTGTTGGCCTCGGAGGCGTCCGCGTCTGTAGCAGTGACGTTTAGAAGGACAGTGCCCGGCGGTGTTCGCTCTGAAATTCCGCCACCCGGTGGCAAGTAGATATCCTGAGTAAAGGTGGGTTGTTCATCGTTCACATCGATCACATGAATCTTTAGATGGGCATAACCGGTCTGTTGTGGCCTGCCCTTATCTCGTGCGATGAGCAGAAAGTTGTAGATACTCGTCTTCTCATAGTCAATCGCTTGCATTGGGGTGAGTTGCAGCATCCCGTTTACGGGGCCGCTAATTTTGAAGGGCATCGGGGTTCCGGGGTTGAGCTCAGTCTCCTCTTTCTTTTCTCCCATCAAAAACTGCATTTCAGGAGACTTGAAATTTCTCAGTTCATATTCGATCTCACCATTCAAACCATCATCAGGATCATAGGCGGCGGAAATCAGAATACGACTACTGTCCATTCCACTTCGGCTAGGACCGAACTCTGCATCTGAGGTTTGTTCCAGCACACTTGCGTCCAAAACTGGGTAGTTTTGCGACTGGGCAGGGTCACTGGGGGTCTGCCTACCGACGACCTCCCAGGAAGGTGGATTGTCATTGATGTCTTCGATCACCAGTTCTATTGGAATGGTCACCATTTCAACGTCTGTCTTCTGATTTTCCACAGTTACCGTGGCCAGTACACTAACCCGTTTCAGACAGGTAGTGGATTGAGCCATGCTGGCAGAAAGGAAGCCAATCGTCTGAGCAGAACTTGGCGGTCGCACACACAAAGCCTCACGGTCTACTCGACCTTCGATGAGAAGACTGCCCGTCTGCGGCTGGATACGTAACAGGCGGGTTAGCATGTCATGGGAGTCAAGGAGTTGATAGGTTGTCTGTCTTTCTGGTCGAATTGGGTCGCCTCTGTAACGTAGTGCCAGTTGACTGTTCAAGTACTCCGCCACCCCAATGACTTCTGTCCCGTTAGGAGACTCCTCAATTATTCTGAAGCGCTGATTGTCATGGGAGGGAAAGTTTGGATCATCCACCGGTCGACCGATGGCAGGATCGAACTGGGAATCAGCCGCAGCATGGATGTACCCCTGCATCATCCAAAACACCGTAAAGAGAAGAGAACGGATGAACTTCGACCGAAAGATCATGTTTGCTTGTAATTCCGAGCTATTTGTGGAGGAAGACTGTTGTCCTGTAATAGAAAATATAATCCCATATGATTTTTATAAAACGTGCATCGAAGCAGGCAAGACTGTCCACGGTAATCCGCATGCTCTCACATACAGCTGTATGAATGAGAGTAGTATTTTATTAGTCACTATCTGGCAAGACTATGTTTTTTTCAAAATTCAAACTTATCTTTAAACGGTTTTTTTCAATATTGTTACTACTGTTGTAGATAAGGAAGCATTCAATTAACCAACTTCGGATCTCACAGGTATGCTTAGGGCATGCAAGAGGGGGTTTGACAGTGACAGAACTTCTGAGTGCTCGTCTTGTGTTATACCGTCTTCCTTTGTTTCATTCTATCCAAGCGGCCTCTATGATTGCTGCTCCGGCTATATATAAGAACACTATGCTAGGCATTCTCATGTCCATTGTTGGGGTCAGTTGATTCTCCGCCACTACAGTTAAGCCTTCGATGCATCCTCGCCGCAGATATTTTATCTCATATTACCGCCTTTTGAATCTATGCTTCTGTGAGAATTCTGTTTGATGGCCCTTTTTTCACGCCAGAAAGACTGGCACTGCTTTTGAATAGCAGGAAGACGAGGCCTGCACTTTAGCAACATCAGCAGGAAAACTTCCTATCTTCCAAGTGCACTCACAGTCCTCTCCGTGCCCCAGAGGAAGTGACTAGAGAGCGTTTCCCATCCACCCACATCTGGGGGAGGTCTAATGTCATTTTAAATTCCTTGCTCTTGTTGGCTGCTATTTGCATAATTGCAAATCATCCCGATGCCACTGCCTGAAAGGATCCATCCATTAAATAAATGGATCGATTACAGCATACTTGTTCTATCGTCCATATAAAGGACCGGTGCGTCTTCAGTTTGATGTTAAGGAACTTCAATAAAAGTCGAATTTCACAATCTAATCAATAAGATTTTGACAATTTTAATATGTTCTATGTGCAAGAACAGGCCGGCTTCTTGAAATTCTTTGTTCGCGGAGTCACCTGAAGATGATGTAACGTTTGTTTGTTCAGATTGAAAACTATTACAAACACTTTACTGAACGGTAAATTTGAGCTAGAGCATTTTAGCGTGTATATAAAAATCCAAAATTTGGGAAGCAAAACTTCGATGAGGGAAGGATTGAGAAAGGATTTCCATGTATGTTGGACACAATCTAGTTCGGTCGGAAACCCAGGCAATCTAAATACACATTGCTGTATATCATAATGCCACCGTTTCGGGCTTCGTTGTTAGACCGCAATCGGTGACGTACACATAGGCACAACGATGGGCCTTCATAATCTTCACAGTCTATACGCTTTTCCCCATTTAATTCACATCACCGTGTGCCCGTGGGCAACCGTTTAGGACTTCCGCCTAGCCCACACACGGAGGCTTCATTGGCTTGCGATACCATCACCCGAAACCACCTCCATCCTCCATCCACCACGGACTCCATCACAGAAAGAGCTGATCATTACGCGTCGCTGACCCTGGATGAGCCGGCGGAGACCCGGCAGCAAATGGGGCCAGGTAGAAACGTAGACGTACAAGGATACACACGTATATACAGTAGGTGGACTAATTCATGAAATGTCAACCGAAATTCCGAAGTGCGTTTTTGTTTCGAAAAGATCACTTAAGTATGGTTGTAAAACTAATCATCTTGAAGCGTAATTCTATAATAATTCAGTTACCGCAGGATGTCGGCTTCCGAACGAATCTCCTTCCGGACGCATACAGAAACCACATTATGCAAAATATGACTACTTAAGTAGCATGCATTTTGCTCATTGATTTTCAATGCCCTTAAAAATTCCATTATATTTCGTGGAAAGCGTGCATGAAAATATTCATTCTTTTGCTCATTCGGTGAAAAAGGACATGTTCTTCTAATTTTATACTCGATGAAAGTGGTATGATTCGGTTTTCGAAGACTTAATTTTTTACCGACTGAGTAAGCGAATGAATATTGTTATGCATGTTTTCCATGAAATATGATTAAATTTTAAGCGCATCGAGAGTCAATGAGGAAGATGTATGCTAATTAAGTAGACATTTTTACCGAGTATAGTTTCTGCATGCAGCCGGAAAGAAGTTCGTTCGAAAGCTGCTATCTAGAGGTTACTGAATTATTATAGGATTATGCTGCATGATGATTAGTTTTAGTACCCTATTTTATTAATTCTTTTCGAAACGAAAACGCATTTTAAAATTTCGGTTGACATTTCATGAGTTAGCCCACCCACTGTGCATGCGCGTGCTGACGTATGACTCTTACATTTAAAGGGATTTAGACGATCCAATGTAGGTCACATTAATCGCGGACCGCCAAAAAGCCTTAGCCTATTTCCATAATGAAAGCTTTGCTTTTCCGAACTCGACTTCGATATTTTAGAGTCGAATTTATAGGAAAATACTTAGGTCGGTAGGCCAATATGTCGTCGTCTAAAATCAACGTTAAACTAAAGCACTCGCGGTTTATACGTGGAGTGAAATGTCTAATTTCATAAGTAAACTAAATATTTTGATATGTTTTTAGATGAAAATTTTACCTAGATGAACTTTTAAAACTAATTGGCATATAATATCGTTCTGTATGATTTCCTTTACGACAGTACATCGACTTTCAATAGCGCCTAGGGAAGTTTCGACGCACCCTATGTACTGGGTAGAGTGCGAGGAAGGACGAACACTAAGCAGGGCTGTAAGATTGGTTTTGCACATGTAAGGAACAATTTATGGAGAGGCACGCAGCCATTCGCATGGGAGAGCATCATGTATAAAGACGCGATAACGGTCATGGCGCGAAAAAAGATTTGGAGGCTCATAAGACCACTGCACGCCCTGAATCCCCGAATATCTCAGCCTTGTGAAGAAACGAGACCTCATTTCATGTGGTAGCTGTCATCAGACGATGCCAGTCTTTTTTCTAGAGTTAGCGGTCAAGAGGCTCACTCGATAGAGAAGTTCAGTGCGCGTAAATGCGTAGGCCAGCTTCCAACCAGGCCGCACAACCATTCAGGCCGGCGTCCTGACATGAGGGCATTTAGGTGGTGACGGAGAATCTTCACTCGCAACAACTTTTTTGTTGATGAGGATGGGAATACTGCAGGGTCTTCTACCGGAGAGGCTACAAGCCTGTTGAAGCAGAGAAGACCCGAGCTGAATGCGCCCTCCTATCTGAGCGCCAGACATTTGCACCGTAAACCAAAAGCGGAGCATGAAATTCAGAAAGGCGAAAAATCCCGACTGCCTTTCAACACAAGATTTGCACACCAACTGCACCCATTCTAAATGCAATCTTTGCGCTTTGGGGTACGTTACCCGTTAAAAGGTGCGGTTAATACCGAGGAAACCCTGTTTTCCTGTTCAAACCTTAGCCCTAACCCTACCACTAACCCTCATAAAACTTACTCTAAGTCCAACCCTCCGGAATTTAAGGCAAGGCCATCGGTAATACGGGGGCTCCATATCCCCCTGCCCAATCTAACAAATATGTGTAAAATCATGGAGTATTTCAGTTCAGGAATTATATAGTTTGCCCAACATATGAACCTCAGGGTTCAGGTGTCCAGCAAAGGAAGGCGTTGTCCCACATTATCTATGTCCACAGATAATGACCATTTTAGCGTTTCACTGTCACTTGTAAATTAAAATTTTTCTTACTAATTATCCAGTTGCATAATCTTCGCCAAAAGTAAGAAGTTGGGTTGTTTTGAAACTTAGGACAAAATTATGTAAATGGTACGGAAAGGTATTCGGCAACGGTAGGCTGAAAGACCCAACTTAACTGTCGACAGACTTGGGACCGTATCATATGGGGTTTTATCTTGAAATCCATTTGCAGTCCGTTGCAGACATACTCCCAACAACAATTACTTCCCATGACCTCAAACCACTCAAACT